TCCCACAAAAGTTTAAGAGAGTGAGAAATTTATCTCTGAAGCCAAGAAAAATCTCAAGATTTCCATAGGTAAAACTATAAAAAGTAACCAAACTTGGGGGTGCCTGGGTGGCTCAGTAGTTAAGTATCTGCCTTCAGCTCAGGTCATGATCCCAGGGTCCTGGGGTCCTGCTTGGCAGAAAGCCTGCTTCTCCCTCCCCCACTCCCCCTGCTTGTGTTCCCTCTCTCGCTGTGTCTCTCTCTGTCAAATAAATAAATAAAATCTTAAAAAAAAAAAAAAGTAACCAAACTTCTAACTCACTGTAACAAACCCAACTCAAAAATGAGCCTTCTTTCCTTCCACATAAGTTTATTTTACAATCAACAATGAGTGAGGGAGGAACATTTCCAAAATTTTCTTGGAGCTTGCTAATTTAAACTTAAGGCGTAAGTACCTTCTCTTAAACTAAAAAAAATTAAAATAAACTTAGCACTACATTAAAAAAAATCACAAAAGTTCAGGAATCACCATTCTTTTATCTGCATTCCAAACAGAGCTCACAGATAGAAATGATATAATCAAAGTGCATCTGTGGCAGATAATTGGGCCTATAAGATTCATTTTTAAAAAACTAATGAAATGCAGGTTACATTAGTGTATACATTTGTCAATATTCATTAAACTATTCTTTTTAAATGGGTGCATTTAGGGGTGCCTGGGTGGCTCAGTCATTAAGCGTCTGCCTTTGGCTCAGGTCATGATCCCAGGGTCCTGGGATCGAGCCCCGCATTAGGCTCCCTGCTCAGTGGGAAGCCTGCTTCTTCCTCTCCCACTCCCCCTGTTTGTGTTCCCTCTCTCGCTGTGTCTCTCTCTGTCAAATAAATAAGTAAAATCTTTAAAAATAAATAAATAAATAAATAAATAAATAAATAAATAAATAGGTGCATTTGATTTAAGGTATTTTATTTTTTTAAAGATTTTATTTATTTATTTGACAGAGTGAGAGAGCACAAGCAGGGGGAACAGTAGAGGGAGAGGGAGAAGCAGACTCCCCACCAAGCAGGGAGCCTAATGCGGGGCTCGATCCCAGGACCCTGGGATCATGACCTGAGCCGAAGGCAGACGCTTAACCATCTGAGCCACCCAGGCGCCCTGATTTAAGGTATTTTAAAACTGAAAAAGTATACCTACAGGTTCTACCATAGTTGCGATATCCAAGTAGTCATCTCTCCCCCCACTGACAATGTCAGAATTTAGAAATGCCTTCACAGAGATAATAAATTACAAAGCACATCATTCTAGTTATACATGTTATGACACCAAATCTGTTATAGAGCATATATGTCAAAGTATCATCCAATCAATGTCTTCTATCCTTTAATGATTCTATTTTTTTTAAAGATTTTATTCATTTATTTGAGAGAGAGAGAGAGTGCGAGCGAGTGAGCCACAGAGAGAGAAGCAGACTCACCACTGAGTAGGGAGCCGGATATGGGGCTCGATCCCAGGACCCTGAGACCATGACCTGAGCTAAAGGCAGCCATTTAACAACTGAGCCACCCAGGCACCCCAATGATTCTATTTTTAAATACATATGCTAAATGTAATTAGAAGGCACCACAATTAAATATTTCACTAGAAAACCTATAGAAATGAGTGAAAATCTGTAGACAATAAAGTATAAATAAGGACTTTCGCTGATCATTCTTTTTCTTAGTTCAAAATGACTAAGAATGATTTTGTTTTTATAAGTTTTATTAATACAGTGTGAAGGAGATCTTTACTAAAAATGGACAATTTACATAGAAATAGAAAACTTGTGAGAAGTTTTAATGCATCGTCACTCATCTGGAAGCCTCGGTAAGACTTTCATCGGAATAAAAACTCTTTTATAAGAAGAGAAACCCATGTCCTTGGGAACTACTCCTGAATTCTAATGTATTGTAACTAGTGAAATAATTTAAAAATAGAATTAGTACATGAAGTTAAGAAGACATACAACTGCTAATTTATTTGTTGTTATAAATAATACTAGACATAAATAATTACATAATTATAATTATAAATAATACTAGACTACTATTCCAGGAAAAATCACCAGTAACTCCATTCATTAGGTTCATAGTGATTCTGCTGACAGCTCCAGTCACTTGTCAGAGCTAAAATTTTCTACATCTACTAACTATTTGTGATTGTCAATGAGTGATAATTCTAGATTAGAATTTCACAATCTCAATTTATAGCAGAGGTCTGAAGCTAGGTCAGTGTTCTCAAAAACCAGTACTGTAATCAAAGCATCAGATATCACTGAAATTCACAAATGGTTATTCTTCACAACAGAATTATCAAAGGAAGCACAAAATTCACTTTTTGTTTTAGTCTTTCCTATAAGCACATACATATTATACATAAGAGTCATCAAATTTTGGTTAGATATTGTTATTGTTATTAAGACAAGGATTATAGTTTTGAAATAGAACAAAACGTATTTCTTGATCAAATGGAAGTTTTTCTGCCACCAAAAATCATCTAGTATAAGTGTACTCTGCATTCATTGTATTATTTCATTACATATGTTTATTACATTACCAACTTTTACATTTTGTACTAGAGTACTTTAGAGAAATTTTTAGGACCACTGTAACTAAACTTAATTTAGATAGACCTAATTTCAGTTTTCCAAATAGGCCACATTTCTTCATATGGGTCTGAGCACACTTATGCAAATACATAAAGTTGACACCTTACTTGAGAATGTCGCATGTACCCAAGATACCAAGCTTGTAAACTGCCTCCCTCATCACCATCCCTGCTCATTCGGGATGCCACCAAGTCATACCAAGGTCTTCCCTTTTTCTCTTAATAGTTAGGCCAATTCTGCACTTCTACTGCTTTGTTTGTGTCTCACAATTCAGTCAATACTTGTCAGGCCGTATCTTTCCCATAATCAAAACCACGTGCCCCTAAACCCCTTTCCTTTTTTGGACATCTCAGAAAAATGACTCAGTTTCTACTTTTTTGAACCAAAGAAAAAGTTTAGTCCTCATCTAGTAACTATTTATTAGGTACCTACTTATGTACCACTGGACTAGACTTCAGAAATGGGTGATAAACATAAAAGCAATGGCTAGAAATAGGCCTAGAGCAAGGAAAATAAAAATTGCGAATTGTAACATGAGATTAGATCTCATACAGGGTGTGCAATCAACCTTGGAAGCTCTTTAAAGTACCTAGAAATCCTGTTTATAAGCATCCTTCCAAAAACCCATCCATCTCATTAAATTTGCTTTTCTTCAAGCATTAATATCTAGGATAAATAAAAATGTTTTATTGAACATTTTTACATTTGGTTTCGTTACTAGAATTGGTTTCCTACTATTTTTCAGGGTGGCAATGGTTTTTCTATAGTGTGACTAAAATAATTCTTTGGCTATAATAAAAGTCAAACAATCATTTCTTAAATTATTTTCCAGGGAAGACAGGTCCCAAATTCCTAACCACCCACTCACAATAAACTTCTGAAGTACAAAACATTTGTAAACTGGGAATGACTTATTCTTTACTGTCATATTTACATTCCTATGGGCTTAAGAAATGATGCCACCACTAAGGTAATACCAATGACTTAATAGTTTAAAATAAAAAAATTATTCAGACAATTGTGAAGCTGTGTGCAAATCTTCCATTGGTCTAAGACTGAGTATAGGAACTTCTGCAAAGAAGAAAAGTTGGTTTGTGATATTATCTGTATTTTATTTACTTTTGATTTTAAGTGTAAGATATTGGTCTGGAAAAGGTTTCCCAAGACCAGCTGAGTTTCTTCTTATATATAGGTGAAAGGCATTAAAAAAAAAAAAAAAAAAACACAAAACAAAACCTGTTCTACAGGCTTCTGTACACATAGAGGAAATACAGCCATTTTATATATTATGTCTAGGGTATAAACCCTTTCGATATGTTTACTGACACTCTCTTGAAGTTTTCATTTCAGTTAAGTTGTTCTGCCTTAAAGGATTCACTTGAATCACTAAGGACATATTTTTTTATGCTGGCAGAGGGTAAATTAGAAACTGCTTAGAATGGTACATCTCTATGCAGTGACTCAGTTTAGTAGCTAACAATATATATTTCCCTCCTCCCACAGAGGAATGATTATGTGTCTTCCACTGATGCCTTTAAAAAGACATAAAAAATTAGTATACAATGTCCTATGTTAATACTATACAAATCAAGTTTCTCTTGGAATGTGAATACATATTTTACAAGTTTATTTTTCTTTTCTCTGCTGTATTGCTTGCATACATATATGCATCTGGCTATAACAGTTCTTTAGCAGAAAAACAAGGTTATATGAGAGCCTGGTATCAGCTATAAGAACAAGATAACTGTTTGAATCCTTAATTTGAAATCCATGTACATTCATTTTGTATCAAATGGTAAATTTGATATGTAAATTATCTAATTTTTATATTCATTACAGAACTTTGAAAAAATCATGTGTCACTTATTGGATCTAACAGAAGCATTCAATGTTTAAATTATATGTCCTTTTAATTAATGGTTTCATTAACACTTCTATTTGAATTATGAGAGAATGGTGTAACTTATAATAATTAAGAATACCAAACATCACAACGATAATTTTAAATCTGACAATAGACAGAGGTAACTTTTGAATTTTCATGCCTTTGAAAAGGAAACAAGAAAAATAGTGTACTGCCACTATTTTATTTTTGGAAACTCTTTGTAAATAAAAACCCATTTCCAAAATAAGATATTCCATGGACAGAATAGTTGGTAATGGTTCAAGTGCCTTAGGCAACAGAGAAGTATTGTTTTGTAGTTGCTGTTTTTTTAAACGTCTCCTAGTAACAGCAGTTCATCATGCACAAAGAAACCAGGTAACAACATGATTTAAAATGAATATATAAGCAATAACTATAAAACCTCAATGAAAACTGAAGTTTACCATATTAATTCCATTTCTATGAACTGGGATAGATAACCTGGCTGATACTCACCGAATGTTATAGAAATGTCCAGGCTTGTTTAAGCAACAAAAAGTAGACACATGGTGAGGTGCTGAAGACAGCTCTCTCTTGGGCTCAAAGCACTTTACATGAAGTAGTTTTATCTTCCGTTTAACAGACGGTGCCTCCTGTTACCAAACTGCTGCAGAGAGGAGTTTCCACAATCCCGTCTTGACTTTTTCTCTCTCTTTGAAGAGTAACAGTTACCACCGGGAAAACGTTAGCAGAAAATGATCACTTGAACACTCGCACAGGGCAGCTGTAAATTTCCACTCTCTTTGCTTGCTCTCAGATTCCAAGCCTTGCTTGTCTCTTAATCTGTCACAGGCAGTTCTGTTTCTGGTCAGACCAGCTTGCTTCTGCTTTCTCCTCTCCCTCTCAAACGCTCTCTTTTAGATACATACCACACACTAACAGCTCCCTCCTTTTCTTCCTCCCTCCCAATTGTGCGTCACAAGAATGTGTGTAAAGCAATTAAGCTGAGGCAAACTGGAAATCTTTCTCCCTCCCCCCAAAAACGTCTAGGGATAAACACAATATTTTTCTTACCGTATTTTTCCCTCTCAGTCCTATAGTTGCTCATGTATGGAGTTTGGCCCACAGATTAAAATGGCCTGACAATGCTTTTTAAAAATGTAAATAAAAGTTTCTAACAAAGGTGTGTTGATAGTGATAATAATGGCTTCATTTGCTAATATGTTAGTTTCTCAGAAGATGCTGATTCCCAATCATAATAAAAATGTAGCAAGGAAATATTCAAGTACCATGAATTTAATCTTCAGATTTCAAAAAGCAAGATTTTAAAATTAAAGTATTTATAATTTAAGTGTGCTTAAGTTTAATGTATTTTAAAATATGGCATATTTTGAAACTTAGATCCAACATTTGCAGTTATAAAAGGGAAAATTACAAAGAACATAGAAAAATACTGACACCAAAAATATCAAGTAGAGCAGCTTATACTATTTATGTGCAAACCAAATATGATTACTTTGTTTAGAAGTCCTCCTCCCTCCACATACACACACACAAACATTGGTCAGGATGCATAATATCTCTTCAGTGAGAATTTAAAAGGCTTAGGAGTATTAAAAAAAAACTTTTTTCATTATTACACATGTATAATTAATTATAAAGCAAAATATCTTAAAATTATGGATCTCTGAAAAATTTGAGAATGAGGAATTAGGTAGAAAACTGAGTGGGATGGTTGGTGACGACAGGCTTAGATGGCATTTGTAGAATTCTCTGGAATTAGGAGGCAATGTACTCAGCTTGGAATACATGCTGACCCTGTGAGAATGCTGGTCAGAGCCTGCTTTACAGCTTTCTGTTCCAGTCCCATAGCCCCAAAGACTTTCAGGTTCTCAGTCTCCCACTATCTGTTTCCAATCAAAATTCTCAGGCTCTTCTTCTGATGACAGATCTCTCAATTACAGAACTGATAGAAGTTAGACCTATTATGTTTTAGTCTTATTCTCTGCAGAACTAAAGCATCCCTAAGAATATAAGCTTAAATAAAGTGCAAGGCAAAAATCTATAAATAATTGGTTACTACCCTTAAGAAAAACAAGCAAATAAATAAAGCTTGGCTTTATTTCTTAATCTATATATCATGTGTTTAATATATATTCCCCAATATACACATATATTTATTTAAAAATATGTACTTAAGGTGGTTCATTTAAAGTGACTTTTATTTATTTATTTTTAAAGATTTTATTTATTTACTGAGAGAGAAAGAGGGAGAGAGATCATGAGGTGGGGGGAGAGGGGCAGAGGGAATCTCAAGTGGAATCTCAAGCAGACTCCACACCGCGCTGGAGCCTAGAGCTGGGAGCCGGATGAGGGGCCATCTCACAGTCCGAGATCGTGACCTGAGCCTAAATCATGAGTCAGGTGCTTAAATGACTAAGCTACCCAGGTGCCCCTAAAGTAGACTTTTAAAACTTAAATATATTATAAGGTAATTTGGTTCTTAACACCTAAGAAATAGGCACCAAAGAAGACTAGAAATTAGTCTGCCAATTATTCCTTTAATTTGTAGTTCTGTAAAACTTAGAGTTTTATTTCCTACTTAAAATAAATATTAAACAGATATTATCTTAAATCACCAGGGTGTGAATAGTAGTGCCTTATATCTTCCTGAGTCCAAGATTATACTCAAAGTGTTCTGATATACCTGAAGAAATTCAGAATTAGTAAGGATGGTGCTTAGAATAACTACAAGGTTAATTTTTTTTTAAGTCATTTTAACACTGGAAGACGTTATTATCAATCTATGATTCTAAGGCACAAAATAAAGACAAGGTATTCAAAATATACACTAAGACTGACGACACATGATTGTATGTGTTTATATTTGACTTCTACCAAACACCACTTTTTAAAATGCATGCAAATAAATCACAAAAAGTGACCATATATTAACCCACAAAAAAAAAATCAATACATTTCCAAAGGGGAATGGTACAAGCTTCATCCTCTGAAAACAAGATGAGAAAACTAAAAGTTATTTTTAAAATATTTAATATGTAAGTAAATATGCTTTAACCAACCCTATTAATACTTGAAAATTTAAAAGTACATTCTTCTAAAAATTATTTGAAAAGAAAAATTAAAAAGTACAATTATAGTGGACTGTAGTCTGTTTCAGGATATGATGAAGTAATAGGGACTGAATTTACTCTTCTGTTTTACATAACTTAAAAACTGGGCAAAATATATAAAACAATGGTTTTTAGACACTGGACACCAAGCAGCTCAGGCCAATAATCCCTGAGAAAAGGGAAAAAAGGTGATTATTGCCCCAGGCTGCAGAGCAGGAAGGGGAGCCCAAACAGAGCGTAGCAGTCTTCCTGAGTTAAAGAGACAAGGTTGAGAATTCAAGAAGGCCAATCTGACTAAAATTCACAGGGTGCAATACCAGAGAGGAGAGTTGCAAAGAGTCCCAGAGATCGGCAGAGGATTCTCTTCAATTCTTCATCTGAGAACTGATTAGCACATCTGTGAGAAAACTCCAAAGACAGGAAAAGAACCAATGGAAAGAATCAGGCTGAAGAATTTGCAGTATTCACACAGGACTGGAAATAGTTCTTGTTCCCAACAGCCAGAGTGAAGAAATCTCATAATATATGGGAAATTGGGTTGAATACTCTGAAAGATATTGCCTTGGCAGTGAGACCAAATTAGCCCTAGATTAAAAGTTGTCTGGTCCTTTCTTATAGACCTTACAAGTTAAGTCCAGAAAGGATAAAATTCTTTCCAAATAAATTAACTGCCTCCTGGAGTAGAATTCAAAAATATCTAAAGGCATTTTTAGAAATCTAGCACACAGCATAAAACTCATAATGTCTGGCATCCAGTCAAAAATTACTAGGCATGCAAAAAACCAGGAAAATACAATAAGCCTTTTAAATAATAAATAATAAATAAGCTATTTCTATGAGTTAAGGTACTAAAAGCAAATTTATTTATTGAGAAGACTTGTTTTCCTTTTTGACTAGCTAGTAAGGTACAGAGTGATCGTTCGTAACATGCAAATATGCAGTCTTCCACCAACGCTTCCTCCAAGAATTTTAGTCTTCACTGATGATCCTTGCCTAAATCAATCATTTCATCAGGGGTTAAAAACTGGTCATTTAAAAAATTCTGTTCTTCTTTTTGCTATATTGGCTGACTTGTTTTGTAGAGAAGAGCTTCTCCTCAACTAGACTTCTAATTGAAAAAGAATGATAATGGCTTCCTTTAATTACCAATTTTGAGAGTAACAGCTGGTAACATTCTCTTCCAATGGTGGCAAATAAAAGATTATTTTTGGTAAGTCTTTCTCTGCTTTTGAATATCATTCAAAATGGTTCATAAATCTTTATATATTCAATGTTTCAATAAATTACAGGCATTATTCTTTTTGATGCCATCCTTCTAGCTTGGGTTCCCCAAAAAAGTTGGATCTGAAGCAAAAGCCTTATGGAGTATTATTTTTAAAAGTAATCCAATTACAGGGCACCTGGGTGGCTCAGTCGTTAAGCGTTTGCCTTCGGCTCAGGTCATGATCCAGAGTCCTGGGATTGAGGCCCGCATCAGGCTCCCTGCTTGGTGGGAAGCCTGCTTCTCCCTCTCCCACTCCCCCTGCTTGTGTTCTCTCTCTCACTGTGTTTCTCTCTGTCAAGTAAATAAATAAAATCTTTAAAAAAAAAAATACAGTAAAAGTAATCCAATTACAATGAGCAGGAGTGAGGGACAAGCGGAATAAAGCAAAGGAGGGAGAGCCAATATGACAATGCATTACCAAGCTGGCCACCTGTTTAATCTGTCAGATTGAACCTCTTAGAAGCCCTTTAAGCTGCATTTCAGGACCACCACTAAGGTGGGAGGAGAAAAGGGAGGAGAAAAATTTACCCACTGGCTTCATTTTCCATTGATCAAAGGCTTTCCCAAAAGGTCATTAATTCCCCTAACACTTGAGTTTAACTCCTCTGTACTTCCAGGTTGCACATGTGTGGGTCTTCCCTATGGACACTGCAAAAAGCAAGGGGCTTACAGAACAGCAGGAAATGAAGCAGTGTATGGTTATGCCTACACAAGAGTTTGCACACAGCTGAAATGAGAAAAGTGAATCCTAGAGGATATGCAATGATATATTAAGAGGTATCTGTAATAATTGTGCAAATGTTCCCAGATTTGGACAGTGGAAGTCCTTTCAAGATACTTCTTGCATCCTTTTGATAGAATTTCATTAATCTTTGAATTTTTATTGCTTTCTAGTTCAACAGAATGTCCCAGCCTCACTTTGTATTTACTCTGTCCCAGATCTGGAATAAGTCATTTCTCAGGGAGCCCTAGTGCTTTTTAAAGTCATTAGTTTATACTGATATTTCAATTCTAATTTATCATTACAGAATTTCGACTCTACTTTTTTTTTAAATTTTATATTCAGGGCGCCTGGGTGGCTCAGTTGGTTAAGCGACTGCCTTCGGCTCAGGTCATGATCCTGGAGTCCCGGGATCGAGTCCCGCATCGGGCTCCCTGCTCGGCAGGGAGTCTGCTTCTCCCTCTGACCCTCTTCCCTCTCGTGCTCTCTATCTCTCATTCTCTCTCTCTCAAATAAATAAATAAAATCTTTAAAAAATAAATAAATAAATAAATTTTATATTCATTTTCTCTTACATAAAAATTTTGGTTCTAGTAACACATTAACACAATGATGTGTTTGTCTTTCAATATATCTAATATAGATTCAAAATAACAATGCCAAAATTTCTAACAATAAAACTAATAAATGAAGTTTAAATAATTCTTGGCAGTTAACTGCTAATTTAACTTGTAAGGTACTGGTAAGCATACATGACTACCATTACATTAGAGAGTTCTAACGTCAAAATGTTAAATTAGTTTACCTGTTGTGAAATCAAAACTTCTATTTTACATTGTTAATTCACAATTGAGAAATTTC